GGATTAGCAGGCGGACCCTCAACCACTGCGCCACCAGGGAAGCCCCATTTATCAGTTTTATCAGTTGACCCAGTAATACTTAGTTCTACTTTTCAAAACCACTTTTACTGGTTTCTTTTTATTATTTATATGGTAAAAATACAAGGAAGGAAACTAAAAAGTACCTACATTTCTACTGTCCTATTAACTTTTTTTTTCTACCATTATCCTCTAATTTATACTAACTTTGCCAGTCACCTTTTATCCTGGATATAGTCAAGGAAAATGCACATGAAATAACTACTTTTATATATACAAATAATGCTGCACATAGGGTCTGCTGTTTTAAATCACTTGGGAAAAAAGTTTCCAGTAAAACCTTCTAAAAGGCCAGATTTGTGAATCAGAGTAAATTTTGTAATATAAAAGTCTATTTTAAATTTCTTAATCTTTTCTTTATTATATGCTTCAGTAGTAGCATGTAATATCAGTCTATCAAGTAACACATTATTTTCATATTTCTTGATGAATTGGTAGATTGGGATTGACATATTACACTAATATTAAATGGATAACTAATAAGAACCTGCTGTGTAAAAAACTAAAATAAATAAAATTCAAAAATCCAAAAAAAAATAAAATAAAATGTTAGCCTAAAGCCAACATGCTTTGGAAGGCAATCCTTCTTATCGTTTTTTTTTTTTTTTTTTTTTTAAATAAAATCACAGGTTGCATTCTAAAATTAGGAAAGTTAGTTTTTGGATTGAAAAATAATAAAATGATATTATTTGTGGTTATGTTCGTCTTTTCCACTAGGAATGCTAAACATGAGTTGACTGTATGAAATAGGAGCTTTCTACATTTTTTGTGTGTGTGTGGTATGCGGACCTCTCACTGCTGTGGCCTCTCCCGTTGCGGAGCACAGGCTCCGGACGCGCAGGCTCAGCGGCCATGGCTCGCGGGCCCAGCCGCTCCGCGGCATGTGGGATCTTCCCGGACCGGGGCACGAACCCGTGTCCCCTGCATCGGCAGGCGGACTCAACCACTGCGCCACCAGGGAAGCCCCACACTTCTTTTCTGATTGTAAAAAATAATATATCCTCCAAAAAAAAAAAAATATATATATATATATATATATATATATATATATATATATATATATATCCATATAGGAAATTTGAAAAATTAGGAAAATATAAAAACAAATTTTAATTCATGAAAAGATAACTGCTATTAATACTTTTGCATATTCTAATCTCTAAGTATTTATATGTTATATATATTGTGTGTGTATATAATTTTGTGTAGGTATATACATTTTAGTTTAAGTGTGATTAAGTTATGTGCAGTTTTCTGTCATACTTTGCAGTTAACGTTAGGTCACAAGCCATTTCCCTCTAAAAACACCACTTTTAAAAATGACTTGTGCAATATTTCCTTTTAGGGGTGCTGTACGGTAATTTGGTAAGCCTTTCTTTTATTAGATTATTTACAGTTTTTCACTGTTATAAATAGAATTTTGAACATCTTTGCTCCTCATTGTCTCTGATTTTTTACTGAGGATAGGTTGCTATCAGAAGGTATTTAAATTTTAAGGTTCTTAATATATATATTCTGTGTTTCTTCACAGATAATCTTTGGAATTCGTCTTATTAGAATTTGCATTTTTTATTATAAAAATGCATTTGAGTTGAAATCTTGAAAACTGCAAGGGAAATAGTAAACAGTTACTCATAGGCTTATGTTTACAACACAGCAGTTGTTAGCCTTTGGGGGTAATTGCTTTAATCAATTTTTTCTCGGTGTAATGGTTGCAGTACTATGATACTACACATTCAATATTGTAACACACATTAAAAAAAATCACATCATATTACAAGATAAAAGCATGTTATATAATGTTTACATAATCAGTATGTTTTTAAAAGGTCCTACCAACCATATATGTTTTGAATTGAGGCTAGCAGTTGGAGGAGAAAAAAATTCCTTTAGTCATCCAAGACTTAAGTTTATGAAATGTCAGTAAGGATGTCTGTTTGTCCTTCTGTCTACCATCTTGCCTCCCTCCTTCCTTCTCTCCTTCAGTACTTTTGGTGAATAATTTCAGAGGAGAAAATTTTTGGAAATATTAAGTCAGAGAACTAGATAATTGCTATAATTGTTCCTGGCACCTTACTTGTTTCTTGCCCAAAGTTGTCATTCCTGTGAGGTAGCTAGATGGTGTTTTTTTGTTTTGTTTTTTTTCTAATGCAAGACAGCAAGTAATTACATGGCTTCTTTCTCTCATTTGTTTGCTCTTGTTGTTACATAAGGTTTATTCGTTGGAGGTTGAAATGTAATAAAGGGATGAGCTTATAGCAAAAGGGCTTGTCAACTCTGAGTTTAAAGCTATTTACCTTCTGATCAGGTTCCTATGTATCCATGAATTTTACTGTTTAATGAAAGTCTAATTATTAAACATTAAAGAGCCTCCACCGTCTTCACACCACAACTCATGTTTGACAGACATACTTCTTAAGATGATGGGTCTAAATTGTGCTTCCCTCTTCTTAGGTTTACCATAGTCACTTTTGGCCATTGGAATGGACGATTCCATCAAGAGATAACAACAAATGTTATGCAAAAATAGTCTGCAATATCAAAGACAGTGTAAGTGCTAATCTTATTTACGCCTTTCTACTAATTTTTCACATGGTACATACATTGCATTCCTTTAGCGTTCAACCTGTAGGTCTCCTGTTGGGATGTTATCCCAGGGCGAGGCCCATGATGACACTGTTTGACTCCCCTCTGCAGTGGATGTAGTGGGCAGGCAGTCAGAACTTTCTGGAGGAAGGAACCAGAGGGACAACTTGAGAACTGCTTGTGTTTATTAGAGGGGACCAATGAAGCTGTCAGCTGTCTACAAATAATGACAAAACAAAAAAGAACAGTAATAACCCAAGTTTGTATCCTATCTGTCACCATTCAAAGATATTACATAATTATTGACTGTATTCCCCACATTGTACATTTCATACCGGTGACTGATTTATTTTGTAACTGGAAGTTTGTACCTCCTGATATCCCTTCACCTATGTGGATTGAATCTTTATGAGAATTGGTATTTTTAACTTAACTGAGATCTTACTTTTAAAAAAAATGTCCCCAGTAAAACTATAAACAATGCTAAAGAATCCATATGTTAAAAGGCTAATAAACTCATTTTCTTATCTTGGGATTTGAGTATAATTAACTGATATATCCTGTTTAGAAACTGCCACTGTACACAGCACAGTTGCAGATTGCTTTTTGCAGAACCCAAGGTTCTAGGAAAATCTGGATCCTCTACAAAAAAGGTCATCATAGATGCATTTAAAAAATGGACATACTGTGATAACCTCTAACAAGCTATACAAAGTAGAAATAGAGGACAATTTCATGTAGAGTTTTATCTTTTTAGACATAAGTTTTAATAACGTCCTTTGTATGAGTATACGTTAGATACCATGCTACTGTAGGAGAGAAAGGAGAAAAGGAGAAAATGTCAGACGTTCTCATTGGCAGCCGTGTGTCTAGCAAGAGATACTTCATTCGCACAAGGCAGTCAATGAAACCTCAAAAGTTTCACACTGAGCAAGTCTTTAATTTTAACTGTATCCAGTTGTTTTGTCCTTTTTGTTTTTTGAACTGCTGTGTCATTTGTTCAAATCGAATTTTTTTTTTTTTTTGGCGGTACGCGGGCCTCTCACTGCTGTGGCCTCTCCCGTTGCGGAGCACAGGCTCCGGACGCGCAGGCTCAGCGGCCATGGCTCACGGGCCCAGCCGCTCCGCGGCATGTGGGATCTTCCCGGACCGGGGCACGAACCCGTGTCCCCTGCATCGGCAGGCGGACTCCCAACCACTGCGCCACTGCGCCACCAGGGAAGCCTGGCATTTTTTATATAATATGAAAAATAATTTTCATTACCGGTAAACTCACCTTAATTAAAAAGACTGAGGCGATAAATAGGATGATGTTGTTTTCAATTATTTTCCTTAAAAAAGATAGTATTAGAAGAGACGAATACTTGTCATTGCTCTTTTGTCATGAGCCGTCTCATACAAAAGCTTGCTTCTGGAACTTGACCATCCTTGGGGCTTGCTTTATTCATTTTGAGTCGGTCACTTCACAGCGTCTAAATGTGCTTGGTTTTAGATAATACTTGCTTACCAGGCTTTTATGCTTTTTGTGTGCTACTCTTTTTTTACACGAAATACTTAAAATTTACAGAAAGGGATGGGAGAATGTACCTACCATCCAGACTCGAATGAATATTAACATTTTGGTGTATTTGCTTCAGAGCTTTTCTCTTATCAGAGGTAAACCATCACAGAGGCAGTTTATAATAGCCTATATGTAACTGAACACTTGAAATGTGCCAGAGACTACTTAATGGTCCACATGTACAAACTTATTTAATCCTTACATAACCCTATGAGGTATGTGCTATTGTTATCCCCATTCATAGATGAGGAAACTGAAGCGTGGAAGTTAAATAGTTGTGCCAGGGTACTTACTAGTTAATGGCAGAGCTGGAATTCAGTCCCAGGCAACGTAGACTCTGTGCTGTTAACCACTAGCTGGTGCCGGTGCTGTCTTTTGTATTCTTCTTGATCCTCCACCCCTCACTCCTTCCCTACTCCAGAGGCAGCACTGTCCACAAGTTGGACTCTCTCACCTGTTCATATCTGTATATGTTTGCTGCCTATTACTTACCATAAATGTCATACAATGTGGTTTAAAGAAGAGTGGTATCCTCAGCTAAATAGAAGCCTGCCCTTTTTTTTTTTGAATCTCAGTTTGAGATTTATCCATATTATTACATGTAAATCTAGCATATTTTAAGAGCCTAGTATATTTTGTGTTTTATTTATCCATGTACGCAACCCCTGACTGTCAGGATGAATAATGTAAGAGTCTAACTAACATGGAATGTATCACATACAGAATGCCCTTCCTGATTGTTTCCAGGGAGCATTGCACCTTAGATCAGGCTCTGGGCCTCATCACCTGAGCTACCTGGTCTGTTGTGAGGGTGCTGGACTGGATGCACTACCCCTGAGCTGGCTCGGAAAGTCTGTGCAGTAGAACGCAACAGGCTTCCCTGCTCTTGGCAGAGGTAGCCTGAGTTTGAGATTTAGAATTTATCCAAAATAATTCCCACACAGGTATTTCAGAGTTGCCAAATATTTTTTTTTGTTGCATTCACTCAGAGAGATTGACAAATATCATATGATATTGCTTATATGTGGAAGCTAAAAAAAGGGTCCAAATGAACTTACTTACAGAACAGAAATAGAGTCACAGATGTAGAAAACAAACTTGTGGTTCAGGGGGTAACGGGGGGGATAAACTGGGAGATTGGGATTGACATATACATGCTACTATATGTAAAATAGATAACTAATAAGGACCTACTGGGCTTCCCTGGTGGCGCAGTGGTTGAGAATCTGCCTGCCAATGCAGACGACACAGGTTCGAGTCCTGGTCTGGGAAGATCCCACATGCCATGGAGCAACTGGGCCCGTGAGCCACAATTACTGAGCCTGCGCGTCTGGAGCCTGTGCTCCGCAACAACAGAGGCCGCGATAGTGAGAGGCCTGCGCACCGCAATGAAGAGTGACCCCCACTTGCCACAACTAGAGAAAGCCCATGCACAGAAATGAAGACCCAACACAGCCATAAATAAATAAATAAATACATTGTGTATAAAAAAAAAAAAAAAGGACCTACTGTGTAGCACAGGGAACTCTACTCAGTACTCCGTAATGGCCTATATGGGAAAAGAATCTAGAAAAGTGTGTGTATATATATAGATAGATAGATAGATAGATAGATATAGATATAGATATAGATATAGATATAGATATGCATAACTGATTCACTTTGCTGTACATTTGAAACTAATATAACATTGTAAACTACTATACTCCAATAAAAAATTTTTTTAAAAGTGTTTTCACATTGGAAGGATCTTAAGTCTGTGCTATCTACCCCCAAAACTTTAGTGTAAATGATTTTTTAATTTGAATGGTTGCTCTTAAATGTTTCAGCTACCACAGGTCATTTATCTGGAGCTTTGAGAGAATCAGATAGAGGAGATGAGGGCACAATGGAACGGCCCTTTGAAAACATCTTCCAGAACATTTTGGTGCTTATGGGGTTGCACACATTTTTGCTTTTCATGTTTTTCTTCATCATCATCCATGGCTGATTCCTGTCTTTCCCTTCTTGCTTGTTGTGACCACACGCTTTGTACTGGCCCATGTTGGAGTATCTTCAGCCTAGACAGCTTTTAGCAGCAAGCATTAGTATAAGCCTTGGCCATTTCTGAATGGGGGTTTTAGATTAGACTGGGGAAATATTCCAGTCTGTTAAGGGGGGAAAAGCCGCATAATTTTATTACTTTTTTGTACCTTAGGAACGTGTTGTGGGCTTCCACGTACTGGGTCCAAATGCTGGAGAAGTTACCCAGGGCTTCGCAGCAGCTCTCAAGTGCGGGCTGACCAAAGACCAGCTGGACGGCACCATCGGAATCCACCCCGTCTGCGCAGAGGTGGGTCACTACGTTTTAAAGGCTCTGTTTCAAAGTGACAGTGTCACCTGGCTTACAGGGGGCAGATCTAGGACTCTGCAGCTAGTGTTCTTTCTGCTCTACTCGAGCTACTTTTACCTCCTTAGAGCTTATTAGTGATGGAGAATAATATCTCAAAAGAAAGCCTTGTCTCTAGAAATGATTTTTTCTCTTTCATATGTTTCTCATTCCTGGTAACCAGGTAGTACCGTCATGCTATTAAATGGTAAAAATGATTAGAGTGCTTTATAGAGATATGCCTCAAATCTTTTATTTATCATGTGTCCTAAATTATTTTCCTGGCAGTCAGCTAATAATGCCGTCCGTACCCAGAAAGAGCATCAATCCTAGTTATCCCTGAGCTACGTGGAGGCTAAATTATGTCTACCTTGTGAGCTTTTGACATTAAAGAATGAGAATGAAAGTGAGGCTTGTAAAAGATCAAGCAAATGGCAGTAGAACTGGAAATTGACCAATGTGGGCCTCTGGGTGTCAGTGTTTCTTCATGCCTGTCAGTGCTCATTCCAAGAGTCGAATATTGTAATACCACTAAGTAGGGCCTGGAAACCAAAAAAGTGTCTACGCTGGAGAACTTGGAGGTGGGGAGAGGTTATCTCATAAAGAGGCTTAGGTATGGAACTGAGAACTGCAGCCTGGAAAAATGTTCTCATTTCCTTTTTCTTTGCCTTTTCCTTGAGTAGGGAGAGTGTCTTCCTCTGTATTAATAAGCACCTGTTTAGTGGCATTATTCACAGAAAACTTTGTGTGTATGTGTTGTTTTGTTCTATGTGGTTTTTTTTTCTTCTTTTTTTGAAAACTTGTTCTTGTGAAGTAAAACTAAATTTCAAACATTATAAATAAAAATTGAAAAGAGAATAGATCTTAAAAGCTCTTAAAGAACAGGCAGTATGTGGGTTTTTTTGTGTTTTTTTTTTGTGGTACACGGGCCTCTCACTGTTGTGGCCTCTCCCGTTGCGGAGCACAGGCTCCGGACACGCAGGCTCAGCGGCCATGGCTCTCGGGCCCAGCCGCTCCGCGGCACGAACCCATGTTCCCTGCATCAGCAGGCGGACTCTCAACCACTACGCCACCAGGGAAGCCCAGTATGTCTTTTACTCAGTGTAATGACTGAGACTGTCTGGGGAAGGAGCCAATTAACTTAATTTTTTGTTTTTTCAAGAACACTTAGTGTGTTAGTTTCCTCGGGCTGTTGTAACAAACCACCACAAACTGGGCATTTGAAGACAATGGAAATCTATTCTCTCAGAGTTTTGGAGGCTAGAGTCTGAAATCAGGGTGTCAGCAGGGCTGTGCTCCCTCCAAAGGCTCTAGAGAGGATGGCTTCTTTGCCGCTTCAGCTTCTGGGGTTGCAGGTCTTGACATTTCTCGGCTTGTAGACACATCACTCCAGTCTCTGCCTCCGCTTTTCATGTGATCTTATCTCCTGTGTATCTGAGCCAAATTTCCCTCCTATTGTAAGGATAATTAGTCATTGGATTAGGGCCCACGCTGATCCAGCATGATTTCATTTTAACTTGGTTACATCTGCAAAGACCTTGTTTCCAAATAAGGTCTTGTGCACAGTACCAGGGCTTAGGACTTGAACATCTTTCTGGGAGACTTAATTCAACCCACGACAGTGAGTATATTTAAAAGTCTAAGATACTTTAAAATAAGAACAGTCATCTCCGACAGGGATAAAGACATAACTTCCCAACTTGGTTCTGCGAGTGTCTAATTTTTTAATCTGAATTTGGTTCTCAGTGGGCTGGTTGAAAAGGCTGATGTGTGCTTGCCTCCTGCCGCCTCACTTGTTTGTGTTGTATCGTGTCGTGTCGTGTTGTGTTGTGACCCAGCAGCAGTGAGAGTGCGGCAGCATCTTGGCAGGATGACTGCCAGCTGGGCAGAGAGGTGCAGTGAAGAGGCAGGTGTCCTCCTGAAGCCCGGGCTCGCAGGGAGGTCAGCCATAGGCCTGCTCCCGCCGTACGCCTGGCACCATGGGAACCCTTTTTAGGTCTTGATGTTTGCCACTGTGCCTCTCCATCTGCTGGTTCTTTTATGACGTTGAAGCTCAGAGGTGAATGTTCTTCTCCTCTGATAGGGCTTTTTTTCTTTTTCTTTTTCCCAAGCTGGCGGCTGATTAACGAGATTAAAACCCTGGATGCTGTTATCTCATCCTCTGAGCGCATCTGTCGTGCAGCCATGTGCCTAGCACTGTGCTGGGCACTGGGGAGCAGCAAGGATTTAGGATGTGAGTCAGAGCAGGGAGGCAGGTGAGGGAAGTGCCAGTAACAGTCCAGTGTGGCAAGCCCTAGGGTCAGGGGACACCAGATACGAGAGCTCTGTGGAAGAGCTCATGGCCTTTCAGGTCCCTGAGCGCTGCTGTAGCTTGAAGAGCTCAGAGAGGGGTAAGAAAAATGATAAAATTAGGCTGGAGAAGTAGGTAGGAAGGTCATGGCCTCATAAACCAAGGCGGGACATTTTGACTTTATCCCGGGGCCATTGCAGTTCAGCTAAGAGAGCTTTAAAGCTGGGTCGGGGTCCGGGGGTGGGGGTGGGGGGTGTGATCAGACACCTTACTGAGAGAAATCCCTCCGGCTGCGCTGTGGGGAGAGGTCCCGCCGAGGCACGTCTGGAGGCGGGCAGGGGCAGGGGCCCGAACCGGGGTCGTGGCAGTGTGTGTCAGAAGACACGGTCCAGGCGAGAGGGAATAGGAGATGGAGTTGATCGCACTAGCCCGCTGTTTGGAAATGGGAAGAACTGAGAGTGGTTCACATTTGCGGCTTGAAGTAGGGAGCAGTTGTAGAAAGAGCAGCTTCCCGGGGAATCACACTGCAGAAGCGCTGAGGTTCCTGAGGGCTTACTGACTGTGTCAGGACCCTGCCCTCCATGTGCTGACTTACTTATTAGTCCTTACAGGAACCCCACAGGGTGGGTGGCAGGAGTGTCTCCATTTGACACCCGAGGGAATTGAGGACAGAGCGGTTGAGTGACCTGGCAGCTTGGAAGTGGCAGAACCAAGATCCAAACTCAGGCAGGCTGGCTTCCGAGACACCACGCAGTGTAGACGGTGCTCTACACACCTTCCCACAGCATTTGATGTGGAGATGCTGTAACTCACAGGGCCAATGGGCCATGCTGTGCAGAAAGTGTCTAGGGGAGTCCCTGGCATTCGGCAGATACTCAGTAACTGTATGTGTTAGCTGGTTTTCCCCAGGGTATTTCATTACAGAAGATGTAGCTTGACTAAAAAGTCATCATTACAGTATTTTGGGGAGAGGGGAGGTGGAGGAAGGAGGTATATTTCGAGAAAGCTCCTCTGGTGATTTCTTTTACCTCTGGTTTTGAGCAACTTGCTTAGAAACTAGATTTTGAAAAACCAAACACTTGTGACAAAATCCTGACTGTGGAAATCTTTCTTAAAGCTTCTTGATTGAGGGAAAGTAAAATTTGATCAGTAGGGGATTTTTAGGGGCACTCTTGGTAAATGCTGAGTTCTGGCTGGCATAGTATGTAATTGGATTTGCTACTGGACCCACTGGTTGTTTTTTCTGTTTGTTTTTTTAGCAAACAGCCATGTGCTGTACAGGAGTGCCACTCCAAATGCAGTCCAGAGAATGTTTGTTACTAGTCCATAATGAGATCGGAATGGAAATGAAGAAAAAGGGTTTAGAAACTTAAAGGGTAATTTGACAGTATCTGATATAATAGAAAATTTGGGTTTTAATTTTACATGCCTTTTAAAAGTTCGTTTCCTAATCATTTTTATCAAACTTCACAAATGTCAGTCCGTTGGATGGATTAGAAACAGTAATAATTTGAAAATTGGTCCTGGGCATTGCTTTCAAGTGTTTAGAACTAGCCCGGCTCCCGTGCCAGCTGTGGGTGGTTTGCAGAACGATTCATTGAATGAACTCTTCTGTACCATTTCGATAGAATAACCTGGGCAATTGCACAACCTTTGGCTCTCAGAAGTAATTGCTTACAGAAGTTGATGAATTCCTCAGTGGAGGCTTTGCTTTTTGGAGCAAAATAGTTTCCAAAGGGTTTCCTTCTGGAATTGCTGGAGGAGGAGGAGGAGGGACTCCTGTTGTTTTGACTGAAGGCCCCTTGGTTTCAGTACGAGAGAGGGGGTCTTAAGGCCTGGGGTGTCAGTGATGGCACGAGCGTTATTCAGTGTGAGGACGATATGGTGATAATTTATTCTGGACATCTGAGCAGTAATAGTTGAATAGGAAACTGATTACACATCATTTTGAGTAATAATTTCAACTTAAGTTTATTTGTAGAGAGAAAAAAATGGCTCAAGAAGAAGGAGCATCAGAGAGAAGACCCTGTGAAATGTCTTAAAATGACTTGTAGAGCCAAACATCAGAAGTTTTGTTTTATTAATAGTCAACATAATCACAGTCTTCAGTGAAGGGGGGTCTTGTGAGGCTGGGAGGTGTTGGCCAGATAAGAAATGTGAGGTACATGCCTACCGCATTTGCCCTTTTGTGAGTGTTCTTTGTGCTGGGATCGAAAAGCTGCCTCTGCTCATTTTTTTTACATGTATTTTTATGAAAATTCTGAAGCAGCTCTGCACATATAAAATGTGTGTAAGAATTGACCCCATCAGTTTTTCCGTTTAGACTAACCAACAGCAGCAGTTTGGCTTCCCCCATCTCTTTAACATCAGCATGTTTTCCAGTATAAGAAAAATAGATAAGAGCTCTTTTTTTTTTAATATCTTTATTGGCGTATAATTGCTTTACAGTGTTGTTAGTTTCTGCTGTGCAACAAAGTGAATCAGCTATATGCATACATATATCCCCATATGCCCTCCCTCTTGAGCCTCCCTCCCTATCCCACCCCTCTAGGTGGTCACAAAGCACCGAGCTGATCTCCCTGTGCTATGTGGCTGCTTCCCACTAGCTGTCTATTTTACATTTGGTAGTGTATGTGTGTCCATGCCACTCTCTCACTTTGTCCCAGCTTACCCT